GTGGTGAGAACACGGTGGGAGGGGTGTGTGTGTTGTATAGCAGCTCGGTGAATCACAGCTGTATGTGCTTCTCGCGTCTGTCGGCCAAACAACAGACCCTTTCCGGCATGCTCTCGGGCATACTGTCTGGCCCAAGTAACGGGGGTGGAGTCAATGCATTTGATCACACGTCCAAATCACTATAGAATAGAAAATAGAAATAGCGAAAATTAATTAAAGATAATACAATATAGTTAAAATACGTGAGCAGCTACTATGTTCAACAATTAACGTAAATGCTGTGTTGTTGAATAGTCATTATTGATCCGAATAAGGTAGTTCGAAGAGGGAATATTTTTCGACTTCCCGGCTTTGTTGGGTTACTCATTCATTCGTGCTAGATGGCTTCTTCTTAAAATCATGAACGACCAATTGATATTTCTCTGTTGCCTCTGTCGGATGCACAAAAGTGGGCTGAAATTCGACTGGTGGTGCACAGATAATCAGAATATCGTGACAAGCTAGCTAAACCGAAGAAAAATATTTGCGAAGTAATCAATCGGTCTGCAAACATGAAAGGTAGTCAAACTTTCAATGTATATGTGATCACAATTTCTTCAGTGGGTTGGCAGTGTATTGCATAATAGGTAATCCTTAGTACCGTATCAATCGAGAATCACTTATTTCGTCGACAACAGAATAATGATTATAGATCAGTCCATTTATTTCATGATTTTCTCAAACGGATCATGATCACCTAGACGAGGAAGATGAAAAGAGATTTCGTTATTTCATTTTCAGTTCACCAAACAATCCAGATTAAACTCAATTACGTTCCAACTCAACCGTATCGCGCGTTCGACTGGCTCCTAAATCGATGAAAGGAGAGGATAGAATCCAGACTTTATTTTCATCCCCTATAATGATTACAGACTNGACTGATCGAAAAAGAAATAAGATTTGTTTACCCGAATTACTATCTCCAGCCCGATTCGCACGCGAACGATGCATGCCAAATAAAACAGCCTCACATTCCCGGTCCTTTTAATCAATTACGATAGTGGACACAGGAGATTCGATCGCTTAATCGTGAAGCGTGGGCAGTCCGGGAGAATGAAAAGTACACGTAACGGGAGTGGTATATGTGTGTGTCTGAGGGTGGGANNNGGGGGGTGGTGGTGGTGGCCGAATAGAGCACAGTTCCGTGAGATACAATGACCTTCCGTCAGCGGTCTGATACTCTTTAAAAACACAACGGTTGAGTCGTCTTGAATAGGTGAAATGGTATTGTTATTGTGCATTGTTGGGCTGCTTGAATGGCGGTTGGAAAGTTGTTTTGCCCAAACAATCAATAAAGGCTGAGAAAAAAGGTTACCATGCACATGTGGGCTGTGTAATACCAGCTTCATGGGACTTAGTATTGATGCTGTTTGCGTTCTAGCCTTTTTTCGTCGATAACTTTAGGCAGTTAGTTAGCGGTGAGTGGAAAACTTTGGACAATCACCCGGTTACAAAGGGTACTTGGAATACACTTGTGGGGGTGGGAGGGGGGTTGACAATTTTACCATGCAACATCAAATCGATACAGAGAGCATGAACAGAGACAAGGGGGGAGGAAAACCTCGTTTCGCTCATCACTGTTTAAATGGCAGTGTGCTATTTTTGAGTTCGGTTATGTGCCTGTTTTACTTCCGTTTTAATGATTAAACATACAGATTCACACTTGGTTTTAACGAGTGAAGTTGTCTGGGGGAATTAAAGAAGAGGGAGGGATTTGAACCCACTACCTCCGGATTACGTTTATGAGCACCTTAAACATTGGATCACCACCTAGGTGTGAAACACCATCATTAATTGGTTAACAGGATGCCAATCCATATTTGATTTACGCAACTGTATTCTCACTTATACCGGTGGCATCTCCGACAATATTAGCCAGTCTAACTGTCTTTGATCTTCCTTTGGAAAAGCTGCTGTTCACGGACTCCATCAGATCATCTCACCTTGCAAAACAGGCTAACCTGACAGTTAAAAGTTTGGTTATGTAGATTGTTAAGCTGTGTAACTTCAAAATGCAACAGTAAAGTAGTCAGATTTACCGGGGTGAAGTAAACTGCCAATTGTGCCAGAGGAATGAATAGTAAGACACATCATCCGGGGCAATGACTGCCCTTCGCAAAAGTCCACTGGAGCCGGACAGAGTTGTCTCAGATCTTTGGGATTGTCGGTCACACTCTGACCAGGATTGCCCGGACACAGCCGACAAGGGGGTATTTTGACCGGACGACGGTATTTGTACCTCATCCATCTCGGTACGACCACAGTAGAGTGGAATCATCAAATAGGGTATGGCTAACTGTGATAGATGTGGATAATTTGATGTCGCCTGTTCTTTCCACCATTCCATTGAATCTTCAGTGGCTGGGAGAGATGCCTCGCACAGATAACGTTCAAGCTCATTGGTGATCTGTTCATCCAGGAAGGAATGTTCTTCGGATTTCAGCGCGCCGTCTTCGTGAGACTTTTTAAACACCTGTTTGAGCTGTACAGAATAATTAAAAAAAGTATTAAACAGAATTATTTTTAGTTAATAGCGAGGAAAATAGTGTATGCAGCACAAGAATGAGAGGGAGAGAATAAAAGGAAACGTTCATAGAATTTACGCACCACCGAAGATGACTGGTAGTATCGGTTCAGATCGTCCCCATGGTAAATGATGCAGTTCCACCCTTTTTTCTATAACTCGCGGACCATTCTAGAATGGATTTTCCGCTAACAGATTGCTTTTTGCAACCTCGTTGTCTCCAACATTATCCACGATGCTGTTCATTCTCTGTGCAATGGATATGCTTTCTGACTGGTATTTTATATTCATTGAACAGTAAAACTAACATTAGTTAGATATCTCGTGTTAGTGTAATTTGTATACAAATTCACCTGGCAGTGGATTCATCTCTCTCTCTCTCATATCACCTAATCAGAGAAATTCAGCGAAACTAAAAGGCTAATAGACGAACAGACGAACAAGTGGACATTTGGAGATTCTGCAGATGTTTCGTTGATATAACTTTCAGTTCGCAAAACACATCGGCTATACATTTTTGTTGGATTATTTTTAGATTCAAAGGGGATGTGATCTGCATCTCCAAGATGCAGAATGGTGGGAGCCTGTGACTGCACCCACTCTGGAAAGTGAAATTTCGGATATTGTCAATCCTGCTGTTCCCTATGGAAGCCCATCATACCCGGCGGAGGTGTGGATGAGATTTCTATGAGCCCAAAAAAGACCAACCTGGCTTTATCCGATCTGCGATTTCTATGGCGCATATAATAAAATCTCATTATCAAAGCACGGATATACATCCCTCTATACGCACCATGTTGTCTCAAGGATGTGAAACTCGGCTATTTCATACTGCATATATTTGCCAGTTAGTTGTGTTAATTAACTGCTGTCTTTGCACAAAGTTTCGCGTTTGGAAAGAGTATCCAATGAACGAATGCCAGAGAAATTACGTCGGTGAATGCTAGACGAAGGCGGATTTCAACTATGGAGTCAATCACTTCACTAACTTATCTGTGATAGTGTGAATGTCCGATTCGCAGCTTCTACTTCGATTCCCATCCACGAGCACTAGACCAGAGTGGAAGAAAGCCCGTGAGTGTCGCAGTCTTACATGGAAAGAGTTAATGTTGAATTGAACAGTCAAACTCGGTGGTATCCTAACGTCTTGTCTACAAAACTGGTTTCCTATTCACCTCCCGTTGGGACCGGTGGATGTACTGCCAGCGATAGTGGACAACATATCAGTGCCCAGCACTGCAGGACTGTATCTCATTCAGTAGTAGCATTATTCAATCTACTTCGAAGATGGTTTTAAAAGTAACTAACCTTGAGACGTAGCAGTCGAGAGGTATCGGGGCACAGTGCAAGTAAACAGGATTTGAATCGAGGATCAAGAAGGCTTGACAAAAGTAAAGTCTCCTCCAGTGGACCTTCACCGGGGTAGAATTGATTTAATTGTGCGAGAATCGCTTCCTTGAACTGATAGACCAGGGAATCAGAATCATCTGGTTCCCTTGGACTCGATTTCCCTGGTTGTGACTGCTGTCCGACCAGACGAGAGTGTCGCATATTCAGTAGTATGGGTTTAATCATTGATATACTGACGGATCGCTTGCCATGTTTGATGAACTGGATTGTTTTACGCATATTCTGTAATAGGAATGCATGTGTAAAGAGGTGAACCTGATCTACACGTTATCTATAGGTTACCAACCCCACACGCACACACACATTTGCAAATTATAACCGATTAATAAAAACGATAAATTGAATATAATTTGGATTCTTAAGGTAAAGGAAAAAAACAAGTTTCGCCCACTTAGAACACGCTAATTCAAATCTACATACATTCAGTTTGAACTAGATGTGGCTCAACAGCACAATAGGTGAATGAGGGTTCATCAGAAACCTCGTTAATAAGTCCGAAGTTGGTTCAATTGCACTATATACCAGACAGATTGTTGGTTTAGCTTCAATTTAGGAAGTAAAATTTGACTCAAATTATCACAAATCAAATTTCATTTCCAGTTGAATGATCACACAGTTATTGAAAATTTCTCTCAATCAGTGATTGACAATTCAGTTTATTTCAGTTGGAACTCCTGTTTCCACCAGGACTGATTGACCAAGCAGACTGCTTTGGATTATTGACGCTTTCGTTGAACGACTTAAAATTCAACCTAATTTGCCATATCGTGTTGCCAACTTTTCCTCATCGAGTTCACCATAGATTTCAGTGTGAAGCCTCTATGCTGGAACAAAAACGTTTAATTCTCCTGAATCGATTTCCCCACGCAGTGGTTCAAGATACAGTCGGTCTTTACCATGGGGATCGAGAAATTGATCAAGCATTCGGAGACCATGTTGGCGGGGAAAAAACGAAATTGGATTCCTGACAGCACAAGCCACATATAGTTCGATTACACAGTGATTTCTGATAAACCCACAGCTGTGTCAATTTAGTTTGGATCGTATAACTTGTTTAACATTTCTTTAAGCGAGAAAGTTGGAAGAGGAAAATATATGGTTTAAATTGTTAAGCACTTCCACGGTCTGGGTTTTTACCAGGTTTTGCTTTATTGTGCGTCAATTGAGGTGGTAGCTTTGATAGAATATGGACGGAATAATCAATTGATAGATAGATAAATAGATTGACTGATCGATTGATTGACTGGTTGGTTGGTTGGTTGGTTTGCTGATTCATTGATTGATTTATATAAGGCATCTTTTGTGAAAAGCGGTATAAAAATAATAAGGGCATAACTGGTTCAGTTACGGAAACATTAAAATCGAACCAAATATCATTGCAACCATGGTCCCCTTCAGCTCGCAGTATTAGCAAGGGATGTTTTCTTCTTTCAATATAAGAGAATTACCAACACAATTAAAAAAGGAGTAACAAGAGCACTTAAAAAAGATTAGGTGAGAAGAAAATTCCCGTACTTACTAGAACAGTCCCAAAGAGTTCTTCAAATACTTTTTCTATATGCGGTTCCAGGCAAAGTGCGTCACGATGCTCCTGGATTTTCAGTAGAAGTTTGTATACTTCATCAAATTTTGTCTCAAGCGTACTTTGTGCTACGTCCAAGTCCGAGCCGGAACCTATGCGTGACCGGATTGGAAGCAACTCGTTGCTACGCTCAGCTGTCTCGGATTTTCTTCGGACAATGCTGTCCCCCTCGTCCGACTGATTTCGATTGAATGAATCCTTCAGGTCCTGACCGGGGATTTCAGGTGCCTTTTGTCCCGTCGGTGGTGAATATTGACTTGTAACTAGCTTCTCACGGCAGATCTGCAGAAATTCAACCATTTGGGGCAGTTCCAATGCGATCTAATCCCGCGGGAGAGAGCGAGGGAAAGGCAGTGTGCAGATGAACACCATGATTCCTCCAATTGGGTTACAATCTTGCCTAGCACAAGTGTTGATATGGACTGCCCATCTTTCAGACTTGATCTTCGCGCACAATCCTCATTCAACCATACACTCGGGAAGCATTAAACATGAGTTTTGTTCTTCTTAGAGTTCATCAATGGTGTATACCTACCGTCCCATCCGCACTTTTATATCCGGATCCATCGAGTCCAGTGGCGCACGAGGGTTTGGCTGACTGGATGAATTGAAGACCGTGTGGGAAAATGGTCTGAAAGATGGTCAATTCATATCAGTATAACTTATCCCACATCACTGCTTACAAGTAACTGTGAGCTGCGTGTGGATTTTAAGCTATATTTTGGATTAGTCGAAATGTTATTAATGACCAAACGCGAAAGCCACTCTTACCACATGCACACACATTATCAAATACTTACAGTGATTGCAGTAAAAGTTCGGTATGAATTCCGTGGAGTAATGCGGTGGATTGCTAACCTATCGCATTCGGGGTTAAGTACCGGCGATTTATGATTTATGACTTAGAGGTTGAGCGACGGAGAGAGCTCTGACAACTACATCAATAGCTTTTCACCGGTGCTTGATATGGCAAGCGGTGCATGAAAAAATCGGGAGAAATAATCACTTTAAAGGTGGCTTCAGCTCAAGGAGACAGAAGTGAGATTAGTCTAACTCCTATCATAAATGTGATTATTCCAACTAACATGCAAAGATATTTAGTTAAATATTCCGTTTCATGTCCGGCTTCTGGTTAATCGTCATCCGAATTTAGTTTTCTGCACAATTCTCAATTCTATATACGGCCAGCCATACACTCACAATCACTAAATCTCAGTATAGCTTGATGTTATCCTCAGCTCTTTCAGTTACACCATGATGCACACGTGGGACTGCTCAGAGATGAACCTGTAGGATAGAAATTCACCTCTCACTTCCCAATTCCCCCCTCCTGCCCGATCAAAATCATTCTCACTAGATTGTCCGATTGTGATCACTGAGGCTGGGACATTTCATGATGGAGCGTCTTGCTCAGCGACGAAAAGCATCGAACGTGTTTGGATTTGAGAGCGATTCTAACTCTACAGGGAGTCCTACCCAGAACAAGTCACAGGACGCAAGAAATGACTACCGAGGGCTCTTGCTTTGTCAACAATGAATGCATTGAACTGTGGAAAAACGCTTAATGACCTCGGGGAAAATAATGAATTTCTGAGGAAAGCGCACACAGCTCACAAACAAGAAATGATTTTCTCGACCAACTATTTGTGAAATCACACGGAACAACCGAAAGTCAATATTTTAGGTTGTTTGCGTAGCAAAAATCATTTATAACATAAAAGTCTCCAGATTTCTTTAAACCTCAAACAAATCTGCAGGAACAGTTGCATGTGGACTAATTGTCCCAGTGTAAAACGATAACTTAACACACTTTTGACTATCTGTGGATGAATAATACCGTGAACGGTACTCATCTAACAGTTGGAATACATGATGTACCAATTCCCAGCAAAATAGCCTCGAAATTGTTTGCATCATCCAGTCAAATAGTAAGAATCATTCAGTTTTTCAGTATCCCTCCCCCCGATGATTCTGTTGGACAAATCGAACTCTTGGTAAATCGTTGTTTGAAACTAATCCCACAACAAACTTTCGATTAAAGAAAAACAAAACACCTAGAACGAATTTCGGAATCAGAATGGCACTAGAATAATGCATCTATTTTTTATTCGGTCAGTTCAGTGCCACCCGGCAGTGAATCGATCGATAGCGCTAGGAGTTCCTAATGTTGATCATGGTGACTCTAGAAACTTCGATATCGGTAGTTTCAAATTTTAATATGTACTCAAATCTTGCATAGAAAAAATAGGATATCGATACAACCACATTCTGTCGTTTGTCAAGATTATTGGTTGTGGATTAAATACGGTTTTAATTTTTTTTTAATGAAATACGCTAAGCGAATGGAAGATATATATACATGTAATTTAAAAGAAAACCCCGAGTTTATTCAAATCTATTTAAAAATGTCTCAATATATTTGAATTATTATCCTGTATAACTCTCCTTCCATGGTGATCTGTTGTTATTTCCTGCCGCTCAGTTTTAAGTTTCCTTCAGTCGTAATGTATTCATTGTCGACGCAGGCTCACCTTAAAGAGTGATTACGATGATTCAGAGATTGTTTTTGTGTTGGATTAATTTAAATATACAGAATTCTACACCATGGCCGAAGTTTTGTGATTTTTCTATTAAGTATATAATATATAAATGACTGGACAAAGTTTACCGGAAACACATGACTAGTTCTTAGTATCATCGTAATGGTTCTTCCAGGTTGGCCTGTCTCGACATTAACTCCTCAAAATGCAAGTGAGGATATTTTTGCCTAGTTCACCTCGAGAATGACTAACTAAAGAAGCATCAGATACGGGTTTCTGATGAGCCGCAAGGACCGCAAAAATGGTTGTGTGCTTCTAAGAAACTTTGACAAGTAACTCATGCGCTAGATGATATCAAGTACAATTTGTGCACCAACATACCCTCCTCCCACACACACACACTGCAAGTAACTTTATCCGGCTCTATAAAACAACTGTTCCCGAGTTTCCAATCAATCCGAACAAGTTAATCCATTTTAATGAGACTATCCTTACACGTTTACCTCATGTACAAAAGGTCCCACTGACATTTTGGCATACATTGATATTCAGAGGTAAGAATACTGGAATAAAAACACAGTAGAGTAAATGTTGAGGCGATCCAGTTTACCACAGTAAAACGGATCCCGTGATGCGTTATTCGAGATGCAGGGGAGGGAAATATGTATAAATTCGGTCACTATTTAACAGACAGATATATCAAACATGGTCGAAAAATTCACAGACTGGAAACAATATGGAAAAACTGTGGGACAGCTGGAAGAAAGTTTCCTGGATGCAGACCCCCCCCCCTCAAAGGCTTGAATTGTGCACCCCTTGAGTCTCGTGAATCCAAGTAGCATACTAGACTTTGTACAGGAAATCAAAATTTGTCGTACAAAATTGCCTGTCAAACGGTCATCACCACGGGACTCATACACAGACCTTATCTTTTGAACGTGCAAGTGCATACCTGATGCGTTCTCGCACACACAAAAAGTATCTCCTCCTGTCCCTCAAAGGTCAGTCGGTACCCGAATGACACTCGCGGTCCGGTATTGCAGAAAACCCTCATCAGGGCAGAGCTACCTTATTCTCGGGTTCATCATTGCACTAGCCAATAACCAAACGGAAATGATGTTCTGTTGCAGTTTAGAGCTGAAGAGTTTGTATATGCAAGGTAAGTGTTCCTCAAGTCTATAGAAAGAAATCTCCAATCTCGATAACACACATAGGTCACCCTCGGGCAGTACAAGATTCACCACTTTTATTTCAAGCGTGAATTCCATCTCACATTAATTTGAAATGTTTCAGGTCAGGTCGCTTGTGTATGTGGTCAGTAAAGTGACTGTAACTGTGGCAACAACAATATCCCTTTTAGTGAGAACCGACTGCACCTCCGTTCATGGATGGTTTAAGCAAATTTGAAGTATCACTATTTTTTCATAGTCTAAATGATCATATGAACAAGAACGTGAATTGTGCAAAGGTCAGATAAACTGGAACCGCTCCAACCCCCGACCCTCCGCGTCCGTTCACACACATGTACATGACCCAGAGTGTGCTGAACTTACCATCAATGAGGACAATAACGCATAAACGATGCAAGGAATGAGTATGATCCGATTGTACAGCTCACTCGGACAATTGGATGGGTGGAGTAGTTGGAACATGAGTTTTGGATTGTTCGTCACAATAGGATAAAACAAGGCTTGGCACGTGTCCGAATGTGGTCGGATCAGCTGAAAGCTGTCCAGAACGGCTTCGATCACATGGGATCTATTCACAATCTGCTTCGGTGGTGGGATTCGATAAAAAAGATAAACGGGCATAAATCACCACTGTTTTAAACGTGCTAGGTGTGTTATATTCAAAAGAGTATTGTATGAATTCTATTTCACATGAATCGCTTGTCAGAACTGATTCACATCTAAAATATCACGATACAAAATAACTCACATCTTGTGGAAACTTACCACCAACATGAAAATTTCATTCCTAATGAACCGATAATCTCCAATTTTTGACCACGCAACCTCTAATGGTTTCGAGAAACATTTGTCTCTTTGGCCACCGAATCCAATTTTCTAATCTAATGGATTTCACACTAGCTGAAATCCTGTCAGCTAACTTTGTCACATAACAAGTTCGGTATTTGAATTGCGCCTCCTTTGATACAAATTCTTAGAACCTAATGTATACAATCGTCTGGTTAAATCGATCTGGGACATGTGATGTCTGGTTTAAACTTCCTGATTACTCACAAGAAGGAAATATTCCCTTCTCTAAATATTTTCAGCCCACAGAATCCCCCTTGCAAAGCAATTGGGTGTCACTTATATTTAATTGTGGAAATGAGGTTACCTCACAATTCGCCTTAGGTGCCTTGATGTCTCAGAAAAGCTTGTACGACTTGCACTTAATGGGAGACAACGTTTTTCGGTCTTGGAAAAAAACGTGCCTTCCTTTCACAATCCGCAGTTTGGTGTTGTCAATGCCCCAATTTGAACTGTCAATGTCTAGTGGTATGAAATATCCAATTTGTTTCATCTCTAGGTGTACCGGGTTTATTTCAAATTGGGTTGTGATCGTTCAGAATAAAACTTCATCATGAAAAACCTGTCCAATAGGTTGGATGGGCACAATCAATTACAATAAAATTACTACACGCCTTTCATGTAGATTTCACTGAAACTTTTCTGAGGAGTCTCCGTCGAAATCCGGGTTTTCTCTTCTTTCGTTGAAATATCGATTTCTCCGTGCACTGTCACAATTGTCATTTGCCCGAAATAATCGCCAACTCTATTTCACTCCACAGCACAGCACAGCATAGCACGACACAACACACCGCAAACACAATATTTTACCCACCCTGTCCCACCCCTTTTGCGCAAAGAATAGTTGCAAACCGAACCGCTTTATATACAACAGGGGACAACGAAGACGTCCCCAATTAGTGAAGGGTTGGGGGCAGCGTGCAATAACAAATGAACAGTCAGTCAGGAACACGAAAGAAAAATATTTCATTTGTCTTGGCGAAGGTTTCGGTGTCGTGTTTTTCCCCGTGTTCATCACATGCCTGTTCTCTTGCTGTATCACTGTCCCTCGCCCCCTGCCTATCCTTTAGTTTACATTTCCCTTTAATCCTGTTCTACGTGTGCAGAGATATGACAAACTGTTGACAGGTGCCCGGTCTTTATGACTCGCATTGTTTACGCATTCGTTGCACCCCGACACCCCTTTCTCTCTACCGCTCGCTCGCCATTGTTTCTCTACTACCTCCGTCTATATTGGATAGAATGATTACAAATTCACAAATGATTTTCAGTCCATGAGGATCGATTTTGATAGCCCTGACGAACCACGTGCACTTGGTAGGCCTTGTTTCTTCCAGTTCTACGGAGAATTCTATCCATAAAATGAATGAAGTCATTCGTGTAAAGTTCACTGGAAAACAAATCAGACAACAATTGAACTACTGAGAGGTATAGCAAAGGTTAACTATGCTCAACTCTGTGTGTATGTGTGCGAGCGCATATACGAACAACTTAAAACAGTCTAATCAGTTGCCCACTGATCAAGAGTTTCTGTCAGATTTTTACGACACGACGGTACTCGACAAAGTTGATACAACTGAAGGAATTAGCTTGGTGTGGCTGTCTACAGATTGTGCTACTGTCTACCCAAAATATCGTCTAACTGTCGGAAGCGAACAGGAAGCGGTTGAATGATGTTATTGACTGGCTGTATTTTCAATTCAGAATAGTTTACGAAGCACATTAATTAGGTTATGGGTATATACTAGTAACGAAATTGGTGAAAAGGTTCTGGTGATTTTGCTGGAAAATAAACAGCTGGGTGGTAGTTTTTTGTTATTTTTTATTGGTCTAGGCGGACGGAACAGTACACAACCCGTACGTGGTAATTTGCGTTTTCCACCTCCGACATTCACGGTGGTGCTGGTGGTGGTGATGATTAAGTAGTTCAGGCTACTCTCACTGATGTGCTTTGGGTCCCAAATCCCGGGGTTCGAACACTACTACCTCCAACCTACTTTGGTGTCAGAGAGCTCAACTGATATCCGGCTCGATACCACACTTATATGTGGTTTGCTGCTCAGGGCCCCACAGCTTGTGTTACAGATTGTCGTGGATCAATAGCAGATCCTCGTGACTACGTTTCATCACACCCTGATGTGTGTGTGGTCCAATACAGGCTGTTTAATGCCTTTCCTAATTAACTGGATACCTTTGGCCTTGTTCGCTGTGAAATATGAAATGAGTAGCAGTTTACTTAGCATTCATTAAATCGGGTACAAATAGTAGTTTCAAGCTCGGACATAATTACTGATTAAACCCACTGTGTGACATTATTACTGGTACAAAAGCAGACATATCCTCAGCGCGCATCCAAGTAGTGGATAGGCACGCTTCAGTAGTTTCGGTGATAATATCGGTTTGTCGGAAGACGCAGCAACATTTGGTATTTCTCTGAAGTTAATCGTATTTTTCCTGCTCATTACTAAGACACTTATGGAAAGTGATCTTTATTGCATTGCAGCTCACCTTCTCTGTTGCATACAGGATGCTTTGCTTTTCTTGTATTGGACTACTTGGTTGCCAGTGAATTACAATATCAACAAAACTAGCCCCATCGTTTGAAATCACACCTTCGGATGGCGTTCGACGCGTATTTGCTCGCCACAACTCGACCGACAGTGCTGTTATTTGAGTATCGTTCCTGCCGGAAAGTGGGGAGCTACGGTTTTCCGCGGTGAACTGGGACTCTTTTGACCGAGTCTGAACTTCCCGGATAGATTCGACCAGGCGTCCGCGAGCTCTGTAGTACAATCGATGCAATATATGCTCTCTCATTTCTTGTGCCGTTGGTAATGGATGTGATGCGGTCGGGGAATTGATACAACTTGATGGAGGTTGCCGACTGGCTAGCAGGGTTGAAATCAAGACCTGTTAATGAAAAGCACAAATCAAAGAAGAATGATGGACGATAGTACAGAATTTTTGTTGTATTGTGGTTAACTGACGATAGATCCTAAATACGTCTAGTGGGAAAAAGGAGGCTCCTTAGAACAAATAAAACAGTTTTGTGCCATTCTCCAAATTTACCATTATGTTAGGACATTTTATTGGAATTTATCGAGTCATCATTTGCCAGAAACCAAACGTATTACTGTCTCAAAAGAACTCCAAAATTCACAAAATATATTTTTGTTCAAAAATGTGCGTCGACTAAGATAAGGGCCCCAGCCATTCACGGTTTTCAGTTCAAATGAGGTGATCTACCGCAATCGGCTCGATAGGTTTACAGGACGTTAACCTGTATCACCATCACTTCAACAATCACACGTCTAGATATTCCGGTTTTCAACCGTCTTCCGCTCGTTGATGGGATTAAAACATCTACAGATAAACATGAAGCCCAGGCCGAATTGAGTTCAATGCCGTGTGATTCAACGGAGGGCTAATTTCAAACCGTTATGACAATGCTGATCACGATCTTAGATCCCTGATATGATCGGCTCCTGAACAACCAATGGTGACGTAACATCAAGATGACTGCAATGTGGAATTACTTTTACAGCTTCAGACTCAATACTCTTGAGGTTTACTAAAGGATCCACTCATTTTTTGTCAAAAAAAGAAGTCCTCATTCGTTTATCCATTCATCCGTATTTAATTTTTGCTAAATATCACCATCCATAAACTATGCTTAAGGATGACATTTTATAATATAAACCACCAGTTCAGTGACAGCTAATCTTTCTCGTACAAAAATCATGCAATATTGGCCTTTTGTTTCAAATTAATCTCGGGTTTCGGATCCATCACGGTCGTCAGACCTAAAATCCAGAATAGAGAGGTAGACACTGACCAATCAGAACTAAAAGAAATATTTTTATTTAATATCTCTACACGGTGCAATGCCATGTTTGATAAAATACTATTCGGAAATGGGCCTCTTTCATCCCGCACATATACCCATACAAATGAGCAATTTGAGTAGACACATTTTCGCTTATGGTTATCACCATTCCAATTAATTCAGATGCAAGCAGCGATCGAAACAATCATGACATGCGTTCATTGCGCAGTACTGGTCATGTCTGCGTGAATGAATGAGGACCGGGCGGTCCTCGGTGGGGAAAACCGAAGAAGCACGTGCAAGCTCACAACAGACACAACGGTATCGTTTAGATTAGATGGCCCAAACCCCACCACTTCATCAGACCTCTGTTTTGTGGACAAAACCAACTGTTCAATCAAGCGTGATGACAAGCCCAAACGAATGGGATGTTCGCTCGTTCTCTCGACCAAGTTCTCTCTACTGCGTCCGGTCCTCGCAAGCATACACACCCGGAATTGCCCAGTAGTCTATTTGACCGTGATGGCGTAGCTAATGGGAGAGAGAAATGAAGCTGATCGACTATGACAAACTGAGGTAATGTACCTTCAATTCGGCTGTAATCGTCTAATGGTACGAAGAACGTGGAGAGTTGTGGTGCAGCGGAGTATGCGATTCGTGGTTGTGACGGTTGTTGTTGTTGTGTGTATGTGGTAGGTTTGTGTGCACACGGATGTGTTGACGGAACCATACCACGTACTACTGCAATAAACAGTGTGAGGGAGATGGGGCGGTGATACAAGTGCGGTTGAATGTGGTCCCGAGGTAACTAACCCACTCGAGCGGGGCAGCCACCGTGAAAACGCGAGGCGAAACGAGCACATGACCAAGCGTGCTCGGCAAAGCAATCGGAGGGAATTAATGGACCGATCACCGTAACAAACCATTTAGTCCGGCTTGTTTTTGACCACTCAGTCAATCGGTCGGCCAGTTAGTCAGTCAGTCAGTTTGTTTGTCGACTGATTTATTAACTATTGGAATTTTTCATTCAAAATTCCACCCCGCCCCCGGTTCAGCGAAAACCCAATAGTATGAAGTTGGAACAAGAACTCAGTGACACTAATGCCCCTACCCCATATCACCCCGTACCAGCATCCTATCAAACTGATAGATGGACACGGGTTTGATCTTTGGACTGCTTCCAATATGCTCATACACACACAAGTCCTTTTGACCCGGCCATATGTAAAGCGATCGCCGAGAAGTATTCAAACAGATTTGACATTTTCATCGCGTTCGCTTGTGATTCGTATCGTGCTTGTTTTTAGGTGATCAAAAGTTGTCCAACGGAAAGTGACCTTGGTTACTTACCATCAACAAAGTCAAGCATTAATCGATTACGGCACAAGTAGAAACACAGGGGCAATGATGTTGTGATGAATACTACAAAGAGTGGGCTACTCAAATGTGAATGATTTCAATTCTACCGCTCAACCTCAGTTGGCGTAAGATTGACCTAATGTGTAATTTTAAACTTTTGTTGGTTTTTGTGTGTTCTTAAAATTACAGTCAACTTTATTATTATAGATAGCAATATTTTAGTAATATCACATCGTAATGGATATAATCAAATACAGTATAAAAACGGAATATTTGGTCTGGTTGTACATAATGAAATTTGTCAAGCAAGGAGCGAGAGAAAGAAGAATTAAAAAGCTGAAAAAGATATACAAAGTTACGGGGATCGAACCCGAGACTGAGTTTTTAAACGACCCATGTCGAAATCAATGTGTGTGCGTGTGGAACACATCAGGATTCTCTAATTTCCAAATTGCTCGTAACCCTTGACCGACGAGCTCCTCACGACTGCAATCATCAAGTATTATTATCACCCTATTTGATCGCCTATCTTGAAAATGATTTTCAGCTTGCATTGTTTAGTTTATTTGTACACGATATCAAACAATCTACAAGATAGAATCATTTTTAAACAGAATATTTCTCATCGTAAAAGCACTGGAACTCTAGGTGGGTTTCGAACCCGGACACCCACACTTTGCACACCGTACTCCCAACCAGTTGAACTACGAGGTTACCTCTGTGAGTTTGATCTTTTCGCATTAGCCATGCAGTTGATTTCGGGGAAAATTTGCCATGGCAGTTTTTTGAGATGTAAACTGATGTTTTCAGGTGCTTTTATAAGTTTTTTAGACAAACAAATTTGAAAAATTATAGGTACTGATGTAACTTGCGGATCGGCCGGTAAGTGGCGCGCTGTGTAACAGCATGAATTGTGGTCATGGACAGATTCGGATCCCGGCAAGGCTACTGATCTGTTCTCTACTGCAATCTAATGACACAATAAATCTTAATAAAACTGATTCTATTATTAACAAGGCTTTTCTATCCATGGCACAGTCCAGAAGCTTTAGATGTCCTTGTATTCATTTGAGATCCATTCGTATTATGTGGGCAGGGAGTTGGTGTGAGACATCTTGAATTGAAAATTTTTAGCGTAGTCTGTGAGAGAAGAGTTTCATCATCATCCGAGTCATCCGATACATCCGAGTTCTGGTCGTCAACAATAATATTATTATTGTATAAGCAATCCCACAGAACTGAGTCACTCTGTGTTCTATTTGAAATATGATTATTATCACAAGTAATGGATTTAATTTGATTGCATGAATAAGTTCTTCGTCACCAAATGAAAGAAAACGTGCACTGGAATGTTGGGTAGCAGCATCTATCTCATTGGGTCTCACCGTTACCACTGAAAGCATTTATCTGCTTTAGAAAGCCT